CCTCCTCCATGTCCTCGTTCTCCTCCTCCTTGAGCAGCTCTCCGTCGCCGGAGGCCTCCTCCACGTGGGCCAGCATGTCGGCCATCAGGGCCTCCTCCAGCTTCTTGCGCACGCTGTACACCAGCTCCTCCTGCTTCCTGCGCGGGGGACGGACAGACGGACAGACAGGGTGAGCGAGGGAGCCAGCACCGCCCCCCGGCCCCCCCGGCCCCCCGGCCCGCGCGCGGCCCGTACCGGATGTCCTCGTCCGTGACCATGAAGGCCTTGCACAGGGGCTGCGCCGTGTTCAGCCACACGCCCGGGTTCTTCTCCACCGCCACGGACAGCTGGCCCGTGATGGGCGCCGCGCTGGTGTGCAGGGCGCTGGCGATGGCCGACAGCAGCGTCTTGTCCGTGCAGCCCGGCCCCACGCCTGGCGGAGGAGAGAGAGAGAGAGAGGTCACGCCCTGCGCAGCGCCCCCCGCGCCCCCCCGCCCCGCGTGTGCGCCCCCTCACCCTGCAGGCCCTTGGGCAGCTCCATGGTCTTGACCAGCTCCTCCGCGATGTCGAAGGCACTCAGGCCACTCAGCTTCTTCTCCCAGAACAGCTGCAGACACAGGGGTCAGGGTTCAGGGGTCAGGGGTGACAGAGCCAGCAGAGCTGCCTGCACCTGGCCCTGGGGGCTCAGACAGGGGACAGCAGGGGGGGCTCACCTGTCGGGGCTGGTCGATGGCTTTCTGGGGGTCAGTCTTCACCTTGTTGCTGGGGTGATTGGTCACTTTGGTGACCGGCTGCTTGAAGATGGAGGCCGTCTGTCTGACCGGCAGGGAGGTGTTCAGATCGGGCTTGCCCTGCTCGGCACACACGGGGGACACACTCACGTCAGCACTGACACATCCTGTCCACACTCGGGGGGCGGGTGGAGCCAGCTCAGACACCCCGAGAACCCTCCCTTTACCTGGGTACCCCGAGCCCCCTCTCTGTCTCCTCCTGACCACCCCTCTCCCTTCACCTGACTCCCCCCCGAGACC